CACACACACAAATACAAATAAATCCCTTTGCTGGGAATGAGGTCTCTCAATCTCCCCAAACAATCAGATAATCCTCCAGAAATCCTTTACTTCTCACCGTCTCCCTATCAGACAGAAGGGGAGGGAAAGAGGCAGATATATGCCCACTCGCAATCACACACTCGCACACAAAATCAATTCATAGGAGCTGTGTTTATCCTAAAATATAGTCAGCCATCTAAAGCAGCTCAGGTGGCATCAGGGAGTTTACCATATAAATGACCTGCCTGTCTGCTGGCAGATAAAACTAACTCTGTTGACTAAGAGCTATAAAATTGTTTTTGTGTGAGCAGGAATGAGCCGCCTCGGTTACTTGTAGGAACAACAACAAGTGTGCGGTCCTCCTTTTGTGTCTACATGTGAGCTGCTGCACGTGTGATCTGACAACTTCTCTTCAGCACCCTTTGGCAATCAAAAAATGACAAGCCACCCTCATGTCTATTGTCTGTTTTGGTCACCGTCGCCATTCGGGTTTGCCAATTCCCTCTCAGCCTCACCGGCTCGCCAAAGATTTCTGGGCTGGCTGGAAATGAAGCCGATTGGCAGCTGGACCGTTTGCCATTTGGCTGTGTTACTGCGCCTGCTGCCTGCTACACTGTTGCATTCAGAATGGCATGTAAATGGGGCCTCAATGAGCTGCTTGAACAATTTTTTTTTTTAATTTGTATTTATTTTTTGGTCAGGTGACAGTGTGGGCTTTTAGATGCGGTCAGCTATAAGAGCAACAAAACAGATTAATTTTTTTAAATAAATCTCTCAGTTCGTGGTTTGCCCTTAATCCACTTCTCACACGGTCTCTCCCCTTCCTTTTCTGCACAAACTTAATATGAAAATTTGTATTTTTAGAAGATGTCTCTAGAGGATTCCCATCAAACATTTTGAAGACAGTGAGCATATTTATTTTAGCATTTCTTTTTTTTTATATTTGCAAAAGATTCATGCAAGAACAAATTCCAAAAGACAGCCCTTCAAATGCACCTTCTACTGAAGGAGGTGGGGGTATGGTTATAGCATAGATAATATAGCTAAATATAATAAGTCTTTGAACTGTGCAACATGAGCTGCACACTTGTGCTTAAAAGCCACATCCTGCCCTGAAGATACTTCACAAAAAATGTGCAAAGTTGCTGACCTAAATGTTTTATTTAAGTAGTTTTTAGTTTGAACCGCAACTATGGCAAGTTTAAAGGAATAATACATGTGATCAAACTAAAGAGATCAAAACACAAAACCCTGCTTGGCTAAACCAGTATACAGAGAAACTGAACAAGGTGTGAGAGAATAAAATTAATTTCCCTGAATTATTTGGTGATGTGAAAGTGTTTTGCTTGAAACCTCCTCAAGGCTGGAACTGGGACAATTGGGAAATGGATCTGAATGAAGCTTGCCCAGTCCGCGTCACAGCCAAGATTTGTCCTTTTCATACGAGGTGCCTCCTCTATCACTCATTACCATTTGCCACTTCGTCGTTAATAAGCACGGCATTATGGGACAGCAAGAACAGAGGAGCGTCCAGGATACAAGAGAGGTCTTAATGTTTAATATCCATCCATTATCTTTACCCGGGTCACTGGTGCCCATATCCAGCAGTCACTGTGCGAGAGGCGGGGGGACACCCTGGACAGGTCTCCAGTCCATCTTCTAAAGGTGTCTTTAGTTTTAATGGACCAAAAATAACAATAAAATCAGTCATGAAAAAAGTATGGGTTTCCCTTTAAATCAAAAAGTAAATTTAAATAGAAAAAAACGTACATTAATGAATTTTGGCATCATGCAAAAAACAGTAAATATATTATTTTTAGGTTTATGCAATGTTTAAAACTTACTGCGATTAAATCATCTCATGGCAAATAATTGTGACTGCTGACTCAGCATTTACATTGTACTTGTTTTTTTTTTTCTTTCTTCTGTACCTTTTTTGGAAATGCAAGCACAGCATTTCTACATACTTTGTGCCGTTTTAACCTTTCAAAAGTCAAAAGGTTTAGTTCATCCACGTTTTGGCTAAGACTTTTGATGTGTACCTTTAATACTTTGACTTTATTTACAAATACCTCCCCATATTAATACAGTGAGATCACCAATTTCTTTAAAACAATGTTATTTTTAAAATCAAATTGAGCATACTTGCTCTTTTTCATTTTGTACTTTTATATTGCTTTTAGCTTTCAGCTAGCATTTTGGTACTTTTTGCTACCATTTAGTTTGCAGTTTGCATTTTGCTGGTAGCTGGCATTCTGTTACTTTTAGCTTTTAGCTACAGTTTTGCACTTTTAACAAGTATTTTGCTACTTTGAGCTTTTTGCCAGCATTTTGATACCTTTAGATTTTGGATAACACTTTGATACTTTTACATTTCAGCTAGTGCTTTGCTTCTTTTAGCTAGCGTTTTGCTACTTTTACCTTGTGCTTGTATTTGCCTAGTTTAGATTTAGTTAGTTTAACATTTTAACTAGCATTTTTCTATGTCTAGTTAGTGTACTGCTAGGGTTAGCTACCATTTTGCTACTTTTAGCTAGCATTTAGCTATTTTAGCTAGTATATTACCATATCAAATACTATAAGTAAAATTATACAATATTATATACATCATTATTACACAGTAATATTATCCTGTATTTGCACTACTGAGCTTTTAATCAGCATTTTTCTTAGATATATCTCGTGGTCTGCTTCTGCTTTCTTTATAGAAGCTGATTTTAAAAGGATGGATGGATGCTACTTAGCTTTATCAACTCAGTTTCAGCTTTTTTAGTTAATTTCTTTAAAATATTTACACTGCATTTTCACAGAACATGTAATTCGTTTAGTTGCTCACACTTTTTGCCTCGCTTCCCGCAGGCAGGAGGTTGAGGAGTGCTAAGTGTAGAATCACTAGACTGAGGAACAGCTTCTACCCTGAGGCTGTTAGACTCATGAATCTCTAACCAGGATAATCACTGTAAGGGAAAAATTGGTGATATGTGATTCATCTGTGCTGCTAATTATCCATGCTGCTGATTATCCATGCTGCTGATTATCCATGCTGCT